ATGAAGAGATTGTTTTCATTTTCAAAACCGTGACCTATTAGATCACAATGAAAAAACCTTGTAGTTTCGCTAAGTCATGAATTTAAAAAACGAAGCCTTATCAAGAAATAATGAGAAAGATTTTGATTCTTTTTAAAAACTTTATGGGTTTTTAAATATTGCACAGGCATCATGTTTTCTTACTTACCAAATACAAACAAATATTAGCATTTTATGAACATTTTGATCCTATACAAAGTTGTCCATTAGTTCAAATTCTTGGAATGATAGTTTTTTTATTTGATCAAAAACAAAATTTTATTTTTTTTCAGATCCTGAAGATTTACTGACAAATCTTTCAAAAAAAAATCAATGTGGGGAGAATATAGAGTTGGTGTGGTATATAATGTCATATTCATTATAAAAAGCATGGTTCTGCTGCGTGTTCCGTACTAATATTGAGATTAAGCTGAATAATATTATTCCAATTTCCTGCGGAAATCATATTTTATTAGTTTACTTCATGTTTCTCGACATCAAACACGATTATATGAGAGATTTGCTGGAATATAGAGATTTTTCATTTAAAAAAGAAGATTATATATATATATATATATGTTTCATTTCCAAGAAAAGTTTGGTGTTGGTGCTAAATCTTTAGAGGGGATTGTTTAATCGTTGAGCACAACCACCACTCTCAAATTGAGTTCTGAATTACAATTTAACAACATTTTTCTTCCTTTTCTTGCTGTACTCACTGTACTGCCAGTATCTGCCATATTGCAGTAGATGATCTGTATAACTCATAAATACTACAAGATAATTTTAACAATTTTTCACGATTTTTTATTTTTTATTTTTATTAATTCACAATATTCCTTCACTTCTCTGGACTTGGCCAAGCAGCTAGGAAGAAATGTAAAGAACGAGAGTTGTTGACACTAGCATATTGGAAGATTAATCAATTTTTGTTCTTCATTTGAATTAGTATTTCGTGGTTGGAAAAAACATTGCACTGCAACCTTGAGATAACCTGTTAAAATTGTACTTACCCAACTTGGCAACTTCTTACTTTCCAGAAGTATTGTTCTTCATCTTCATCAATTCAGGCTATGCCCAAAATTGATTTGGTTGTTGTATGAGTGGCTCACAACTAAGCCACGTGTCAAAACTTAGCGAAAGGTAAGCAATTTGCTCTAGCACTCTTGACACTATATTAATTCACTAAAATACTTGAACCACGTTGCCATCAGACACCAACGAGCAAATCAAAACCCTAGCGTTGCACTATGTTATTTAAAGTCTCAAACGGTTCTCACCAACAAGCAATCAAACCCTAGTGTTGCGCTAGGTCATCTAAAGCCTCCAAGGATTCTCATCAACTAGCAATCAAACCCTAGCATTGTGCTAGGTCATTTAAAGCCTCGAATGGTTCTCACCAATGAATAATCAAACCTTAATGTTGCGTTAGGTCATTTAAAACTTTGGATGAAGCCATTATCAAGTCAACCAAACATCCACACTATCCTACACCTCCAGAGACTTCAAGAGTCCTCGGTGACTAGAGTACCACATCATGCATTACTATGAAAAGCAAAAAACAATCAAGCAACTCGAGATACTGGTAGGGTCTTTTTGATTCTTAGAGCTTCTTCTCATTGAGAAAATACTGGTAGGGTCTTTTTGATTCTTAGAGCTTCTTCTCCTGCAGTAATAAACTGAATTTGAGACATCCAAGCAAATTCCCACTCTTACAATCTTAAAGATGAAGTCAGAGTACAACCATTTGACTAGTTTCTAATATTATCACTTTGCAGACAAAGTTTCAACAGATGTAATATACCAACCCATTAACAAGAACCCTTCTAAATAACTAAATTACCCCATCAACGGGACCAATTTGGTTGAGTCTAAATTTTCATTCTGCTATTTGGGTATCAAATTTGTTGGGACACTTTTGAGCATGCAGCCACAAGAAGTACAGCTTGTGGGCATATTCATTCATGTATATATCAAGTTCATATCTAAATTCTCTCCTCTGCATTGTACATACTTTGGAAGAATATGGAATAGCTATCTACCATGCTTCACTTTGAACCTCTCATAGCAAAAACCACCCTTAATCTATTTCTTTTTTCCTACTAATAATATTCACTCTATATTGTAGGCGATTGAACATGTTCATATGCACTGTCATGATTACTCATATGGTGCCTTGGTCACATGGGACTCAATCTCTACTACTCCATATTAAATTGTGATCAGTGTTCTCTCTCCTTGACCTTCACATAAGTGGCATTACTTCGCTATATATATATATATAATGAAATTATGCTCCTATCCATCTTGTGTTAAGCATCTAAAACCTTATAAAACCACATTGAAGTCAAATGAAAACACTCATAAAAAAAAACATAAATCCATACTTCAAAACTGTTCCAAGTCTTCAAATCAGAAAACAGGACTCGGAAGATTTGCTAAACATCAAATTCAACAAAAACTTTCAAATTAAGAAGAATATGTAATCTCTTTACATTATATAACTTGTGTTAAGCATCTACAATCTTATAAAACCACATTGAAGTCAAATGATCATAAAAAAAAAAAAAACATAAATCCATACTTCAAAACTGTTCCCATGTCTTCAAATCAGAAAACAGGACTTGGAAGATTTACTAAAACATCAAATTCAATAATAACTTTCAAATTAAGAAGATTATGTAATCACCTTCTTCTTGATGGTTCTCAAGCAAATCAGTAATGAAAATTGTACACCATAAACCATGAATGTTATAGCATTAAAAGCAGCTGTCATGCCTATGGCTCTTACCCTATTTCTCTTCACACTCCTCCTTCAGGTTTGCACCACCATTACCAATATATTCAGCAATGGCACGAACCTGCCAAAATTCCCAGCTATTTCTGTCTTTGGTGATTCCCAGGTATCACTTTTTATTCTGAATCAAAAGGTCAAGAATTTCCCAGTCGCGTTCCTACATGAAGGTATTTTGTTATATTCTGTACTTGTTATGTTTTCCTAGTACGGGAGTATTTATTTCATTCTGAACTCTCTATGTGCCGTTTTTCTGAACATAGTGAAATCCCTGAACTAGGCTAAATCTGTGTGTTTTGATCTGTTTTCTGTTTAATTTCGTAACAGTTTTCGGAAGGAAAACTCACTCTTGACTTCTTGGCTTCGGCACTAGGACTAAAGGAGACTCTTCCACCTTTCCTAGATCCAAATCTATCTAATGACAACCTACATACAGCAGGTGTCTGTTTTGCATCAGCTGGATCGAGATCGATATGATGACATAAGTAATGGTGCATTTGGAGACTGGAGTTATACCAGTGTGAGGCAACCTGAGTACTTCAAGAGTGATATAGAGAAGCTTAAAGGAGTTGTATGAGAAGAAGAGGCTAAAAACATAATAAATGGTTCTATAGTGTTAGTAAGTTCAGGACCTAATTACTTTGCTTTAAACTTTAAGAATTGCTAACTCAAATACAGGCATCGCTTCCAGGGAGAAAAATTGTCTATGCACATATGCAGACTATGCAGATATATACACTCCACTGATTGACATGCTCAACAATCCAAAAAAATATGGTAAACTGAACTGCATCAATGTTGATTAGCCCAAATTATGCAAGTATAATATATACATATGCATTCAAACATCCACATAAACACACAAAAACCAAATTTTGTTATGAAAACATCAGTGTTTGGTTAAATTTCGAAGTCAAGATGATGGGAAACTTTGATCCTCAATTGCTAGTGAACCATCATATATATGAAGTGAATTGTTACTGATGGTGTGTGTCACACAACAGGTTTATCGGAAACTAACAGAGAAAGCTGCAAGACTGGATTAATGGAAACAGGACTCTTTTGTAGTCCATTTAGGATCATGAACTCTTTTTTAAGCTAATATATATGCCCAATTCCCAGAAGCTAATTTATGCGGACATTTCAGTTTTCAACTATTCTAACTTCCCAAGTATGGTAAACAATTCACAAAAATATGGTAAACTGAACCGCATCAAGGTAGATTATTCCTATATTTGCAACTAAAATACACACACACACACACACACACACACAAATATATATGCATACAAACATCCACATACATGCACACCAAAATTTGTTATGAACACATCAGTGTATTGTAAAATTTCAAGATCAAGATGATAGGAATCTTTGATCCTCAAATGTTACACAACAGGCTTCACAGTGGTAACTAACAGTAACAGAGAATGCCGTGGGACTGGATAGATGGAAACATGACTCTTTCGTAGTCCATTTAGTCCAGGGTGTTCAAATCCTCCCCAGTACTTATTTTGGGATGATATAGATCACAAACGCTTTTTCAACCTAATAAATCATATATGCCCAATTCCCAGAAGCTAATTTATGCAAACATTGTGACTTGGAAAACTTCTCTTATTAGATGGAAACAGGATTCTATTTTCTCTGAGAATCCAAGACTTTATGTCTTTGTGATATTCACCAAACCTTGGAAAACTTATCTTATAAAATTGCCTTTCAACGCAATTTTCAAGCAGTAACTAGTAGTAAAAAAAATTCCCTTTTTTACCTTAAAGGGAAGATCCAGAAAAACCTTGAAAATGTATCCAGTAAACTAACATAATAGTACAAAATTTGAATTAATTAACAAAAGCAGTCCCTCATAAATCTAGTGCTACTCACTTAGTCAGAGTATACCAAATGTGTTAGTCAACTAATTTAATATTAATAGATTTTAAACACTGACCAGACTCCACTTCTGATGCAACTTGACCAACCACTTGAATTATAAATGACTCTGTCCTTGTCCAGGTATCCCTAAGCCTGAGGCGTTAACTTTAGAAACAAAAACAAAACAAAAATCAAGATAAAACAAAAACCATAGATAAGTACAGATCATAACCATTAAATTCATTTAACAAAAAAATAATTAAGCATTAAATTCAATGAAGCATCCATATTTACAAAGCTTATCTGTATTCCCTTAACTTACTAATGCAAAATAACTTCACAGATAGACCATGTATTGTTATACCTATTAATGACTGACTTGCAAGTCAAAATCTACATGCTTAAAATATGCCCAACTTTCAACACCATAAATAGGAACCTCAATGAAAAAATGTATATTGACAATGGCACCAACTCTTTTCTTCATCCTCCTAATGCAACTCATTGCCACCACATGCAATGGCGTGTCCCCACCAAAATTCTCTGCTGTTCTCATCTTTGGTGACTCCACTGTTGATACAGGCAATAACAACTATATCGATACTGCATTCAGAGCCAACCATACACCATATGGCCAAGACTTTCCTGACCACATTGCTACAGGGAGGTTTTCTAATGGAAAACTAGTCCCGGACTTCCTGGCCACAAAACTAGGAATCAAAGAGACTGCTCCTCCTTTCCTTGATCCAAATTTACCGGACTATGAATTACTTACAGGTGTGAACTTTGCATCTGCTGGATCAGGATATGATGAACTGACCACTGCTGCAACTGGTGCAATCCCATTGTCGAAGCAGCCTCAGTATCTAAAGAGCTACATTGAGAGACTTAATATTATTGTGGGGGAAGACAAGGCTCGAAGTATAATCAATGATTCTTTGGTCGTCATTAGTGCAGGACCAAATGATTTTATTTTCAATTTCTATGACATACCCACAAGGAGGCTTCACTTTGACACTGATGCATACCAAGATTTTGTGCAATATAGGCTACAGATTTTTGTCCAGGTTAAATATCTCTCTCTGTGTCCCTCCCTTTCTTGATTTTATCAGTATATTACATCTATATTTACTAGTTTCTAAATTTCTAGGAACTCTACAATCTCGGATGCCGAACAATGATCATATCTGGGCTTCCTCCAATCGGTTGTCTGCCAATCCAAATGTCTGCAAAATTAAAGCCTCCCTATTTAAGAACTTGTTTACATCACCAGAACAGAGATGCTCAATCATATAATCAGAAGCTTGTAAATCTTTTACCTCAACTTCAGGTGTCACTTCCAGGAACCAGATTGATCTATTCAGACGTATATGAGCCACTGAACAACCTGATTACCAATCCACAAAAATATGGTACGCTTAGCTTCCACATTATGCACACCATTAATTAGCTAGCTTCTACTATGAATAGCATATATGACACATTTTATGCTAATTAACATCCAACATGTTTGCTGGGACCAATTATAACCTTGTCAATTTATTTGTAGTAACAACAAAAGATCAAGCACAAATCAATTTATTTGTAGTAACAACAAATCCTGATCCAGCAGATGCAAAGTTCATCATATCCTGATCCAGCAGATGCAGCAGATGCAAAGTTCAATTTATTTGTAGTAACAACAAAAGGATATATACATACTCGTAGAATATTAATGTTTCAATGTGTGACAGGATTTGTGGAAACTAGTATAGGTTGCTGTGGGACTGGAACAGTGGAAGCAGGGGGTTTTTGTTCACCAAACACTCCAGTATGTGCAAACCATTCCCAGTATGTGTTCTGGGATACCATTCATCCCAGTGAAACGACATATCGATATGTTGCCGAATATCTAGAGAATGAAATCTTAGCCCAGTTATCAGACATTGGCAGTCATTGATTGTTGAGGATGCATGCTCAAGTTCAGTCAAAAGTATGCAGCTATCGGGAAGCACAAATCAAGCAGGATGTTAATTCGATATACACAAGATCAAGCACACATCAAGCAGGACATTTAATTTAGTATGTGCTGTAGGGTAAAATATCTGTTAATGATACAGTAGTTTGAAAAATAAATTCAGTTAATGATACAGTAGTGGAATTAAACGTAACTGCTATAATTGTTGAGATTGCATGTTCTAAAATTATCTAAAATACTTCTTGTGGAATGATCCTCACTCTCCTCAATGTGCACTAGATGTTGTGGTGCACCGAAGAAGGTACAGGTCCAAAATGAAATAAAATCATGTCAAGTGCACATAAGCTAATAAAGAGTCTATTATTCCATAACAATACATGTCAAATCTCAAACTCGAATAAATGGAATCGATGTTCAAAGCTTTTTAAGGTTAAATTGGACAATGACTATTTTTCAAGTAAATGAGATTTATTGTTGAAATACATATTTTAACGATATGAAATTTTTTCATGTGATCAATTATTTTATACAGTAATTTTCAAGATAATTTTACCGAACATAGTAGATTGATTGAATTTACATAGAGTTTGTTTGGTTAGCATGTACTGGTTAAAAACAAAAAAAAAAAAAAAAAAAGGAAAATTTTACCGAACATAGTAGATTGATTGAATTTACATAGAGTTTGTTTGGTTTAGCATGTACTGGTTAAAAAAAAAAAAAAAATGGAAAATTTTAAAATTTGTTAGGAGATTAGTTAGCAAGAAAAAGAAAATTAGAAAGAAAATCAATTTTCATAAAAAAATTTGTGAGCTTAAAATATTGTCGTTTCTTTTATGGTAAGTTACCTTATGATAATTTTAAATTTTCATGCTAATCAAATTAATATTGAAAACTTAATTTTTGTCCCTTCACTTTCCTTTCTTTTACTTTCATAACTAGTTTTGGTCTAGCCAACCATATCTAAACCATATGAAGTATTAATTAGAGAGAGATTAAAGTGCAACTTCATCCCATTGTTGCAATCTCGCCTCATATTCCCTTCGGTCTCTTTCGTAATATTTCCCAGTACACCGCGTAAATCATAAAGCAAGCCAAAGTCGTCCGACCACCGACAAAACCAATCATCACCGTCCATTAACATCAACGGTTTTCAACATCCAAACTCGCATCAAAATCCTGTATCTACAACACACATCATAATCCCTCAAAAACCCCTTTATATATCTCTCACCAGGAAGTCCCCACTTTAGTACTTCACAAGTCAATCATAGAAGACTATCTCTCCCCGGCCACCCTATATTCGCTCTCTCCACCCTATATTCCTTCAAATCTCCCTAGCTTTTCTCCGAATTCCATCAATGTCCTCTCCTCCTACACTCCCGATCTCCAACCACGCACCATCCCAACCCTCATCCATCGCCACCCCCGCCTTCCGCGCCTTCGTCGGACGCCTCTCCGACTCTCTCCGACGCGCCTCCGCTCGCCGCCGCGCGTGGTCCGAACTCGCCGACTACACCGCCTTCTCCCGTCCGGACTCGGTCTCCGAGGCTGCCTCCCGCGTCCGCAAGAACTTCTCCTACTTCCGCGTCAACTACCTCACCCTGCTCGCAGCCGTACTCGGGATCTCCCTCCTCTCTCACCCTTTCTCGCTCATCACCCTCCTCTCTCTCCTCGCCGCCTGGCTCTTCCTCTACCTCTTCCGCCCCTCCGATCAGCCTGTCGTCGTCCTTGGCCGCACCTTCTCCGACCGCGAAACCCTAGGTATCTTGATCGTACTAACAGTGGTCGTGATCTTCCTCACCAGCGTTGGATCCTTACTCATGTCGACTGCATTGGTTGGATTGGCGATTGTGTGCGTTCACGGTGCATTTAGGGTTCCTGAGGATCTGTTCCTTGATGATCAAGATCCAATTGGATCCGGATCTGGACTCTTCTCCTTCATCGGTGGGGCCGCATCGTCTGCTGCTGTCGCCGCAGCACCTTCTGTTATCATCTCGCGTGTCTAATTGCAGGATCTGATGATCGGTCCTATTTTTTTCTTCCATTGATTTTTACTGTTTATATCGGCATTCTTATATTTGGTGTTTCCTAGTTCCACGAAGAAATTTGATCATAATTTTTTTTTCTTCGAAATTTTAATTTGATCATAATTTTATATGATGATACTTATATGCCAAGTGTAATGATTTGATTTACTTTGTATCATCCATATAAATTCTTACTGATTTACCGATGTGCGTTCAGGAATTTTTTTTTTTTTTTTTTTAAAAGTAAATAATTATATGTCGGCGGGGCTTAGAATTTAAATTTATCACATATTATTTGAATTTAAATTTATCACATATTATTTGCAATATATTCATACTCGATCAAGCAATTACACTGAAAAAAATTTCAGATCCTCACAAGAGGAGAATGCATCACAGAATACCACTTTAAGTCACCAAGCAAAATGGAGGTTATATAAGTAACTAATTATCATGTCAAAAATCAAGGAATCCAATAATGGAAAGCTTTCAGTTTAACAGTAGGAGTAATCTACAACACCAAAATTAAGAAAAGGGTATGTAACAAACTCTAACAGATCAGAAGCAAGTGGAAAAAAATAAATAACAAGTGCTCTCTTATCTTTATTTTGATCAAGAATGTGCAGCTATTTACCCTAATAATAGGTTGCACATAAATAAAATATAAAGAAAAAGAGAAGGAAAAGCTAAAGAACCAAAATTTACAGTCACGCAGTTCAACGGCTCCCTTTTGCATACGCACTAGTCTCCTCTGCAACTTTTGCCCATTCATTCCCAATTTTCTCTGCATATGCCACCTGTAATTTCCACATATTAAACCCTAAATATCAAAAAAGTAAAAAAATAAAAAAAGAATAGAGAAAGAAGTAGCAAACAATTTCACCAAAAAAAAGAAAGAGAGAAAGGAATCAGTACAGAAACTTTTGACACTGAGAAGCTGAGAAGAGGAATAAAAAAAATGAAAAGAGAACGCTTCAGAGCTAAGTGTCACAATGGGCAGGTTTCACAACCCAAAATCACTAATCACTTGAGGGGGTTCCCCTGTTATCAACTCTGTTGTGAGAGACACAACGAACCCAAGTTGAATCAAGAATTACGACAAAAATGTAAACATGCCACACAAAGATTTACACATGGTTCGGAAAAAACCTACGTCCATGGTTGGAATCCGGCGAAAGTTTTCACTGTGTAAAATTGAAAATTACAAGTTTTCAACCCCACTCTGTTTCTATACAAATTTCAAAGTCTCTCCCTTACACCACTCCAAACCCTAAGCGCCTTTATATATCGGGCTACAAGAGAATAATTAGGATCTACGATTCATAAGGAAAAAAAAAAAGAAAAAAGAAAAAAGGGGGGGGTTTAAAATTTTGTCGGGTCATAAGCGGGTCGTGACCCAGCACCAAATTTGGGCCACAATATCACAAACCCCAAGACCAATGGCTCACTTCCATTGATGTCCGCATTAACCTCCACAACCACTTGCCTAATAGTGCCTAATCGAAGCACCAGAACTCCTAATTCCCAGGTCCCTTTCCTTCACCATAGTGCACCAAACATTCCATTCCACCAGGTGACATTTGAAATCTTCTCCATGCATACCCAAAGAAAACTCCGAAACTTCTCCAACAACCTCACCAACACCAAATGGTGAAGATGGACACAGTGACACCAGTAAGCTAGAGAGCACTTTTCATGAGAGTATTCACCGCATCTCCCCGGAGAAAAATTGTTCTTCTTTCATCTTGCCAATCTCCTTTTGAACCTTAAACCTTTTCACCACAGAATCCCAAAAGGACTTGAATTTGAAGGACAAACCCAACAAGATAAGAGGTAAGGGTATTACCCAACCACCATACAGAACACGATTGACACCAAACCTACGTCGTCTTCCACTTTCCTGATAGGAGGAACTAACTCATGCGAATTATAGAATAAGCAAAGCACTGAACATCAGTGAATTCCCTGTCTTGAAAACTAAATATGTTGACTCAAAATGTACATAAGCAAATAATATACCCACAGCCATGGAAGCAAAACTACAGCTTTAATCTTGTAATTTTGAATCCCCGAAGTCTGATTGAAAATCCAACATTTCGAGGAGATCTATGTTATTGAATATCAGTTAATCACGAAAGAAGTGCCTCGAGGAAGGACGTTACTAAAACATGAAGGAAAACAATTTAAAATTATCTTATTTCTTAGTTATTTATTCATTGATTTATTTTCTATACACCCACCTCAAGATGGTTGGCGGTTTGGCATAGACCCTAACTCGTTTGACATATACACAAACCCCAAAGAAAGACAAGAAAGGGCCTCACAACCTAAAACTTAATACCCAAAGAAAACCCTACTTCCAAATATCATGAAGACTAGATTTAATAATAAGAGTCTAATGGAATTTGAAAAGTTATATTAATTAACTAAATGAGAACTGGCAAGTCATTGTTACCTGTTTACTAGGATGTGAAAAAACGAATGCAAAACTGAGGGGTATTTAAATAATCTTATCTCAGAGACAAACAAAGGGCCTCGCAACCGAAAACTTCATATCGAAAAAAAAAAAGAAAAAGAGCAAAAAACTTCTTCCAAATATCATGAAGAACCGGTTTATTAAAAAGTCTTGACAACTCATAGAATCTAAATAAGTCTGAATGACCCTATCATCACAAGCCAAGTTCGTTGAAGTATCCACAACTTTATTAGTTTACCAATATAGATGAAGAGAGAGTATTTGACTCTAACCAAATATGTCAAAAACCAACTATGTTATTCCCCAAAGAGTATCAACCAGCTCAGTCAAGGTATCCACCAGGACCTTAGAGTCGGATATAATGATGAGGGGATCGTCAAATAACGAGTATAACAGACTTAAATTATCTAATAAAGCTCCCCATTCAGTTGCCAATTGGAATAAACCCCGTAGATATTAGAAATCTCACAGACCAGACCTCCTATGGCTTGTGCACCAGTCAAAATCACTGCAAAGATCAACATTGCTAGTACATATCTGGAAGATGAAAATTCAGATGCTCAAAATTACAATCAGAAGCTTGAAGCATTGCTATCTAAAATATATACAGGGAGCATAATCGTCTATGCGGATATATACACACCAATGTTTGACATGGTCAACAATCCACAAAAATATGGTAAACTGAACTGCATTAAGGTTGATTGGACCTATATTTGCAAGTACAATACATGCATATAAATGCATCCAAAAATACACACACACACACACACACCTAATTTTGCTATGAACACATCAATGTTTGGTTAAATTTCGAGATCAAGTTGATAGAAAACTTTGATCCTCAATTGCTAGTGAGCCATCATATATATATAAAGTGATTTGTTACTAATGGTGTGTCACAAAACAGGTTTCGCGGTACCCAACAGAGAATGCTATGGGACTGGATTGATGGAAACAGGACTCTTTTGTAGTACATTTTGTCCAGTGTGTGCAACTCCTACCCAGTATTTATTTTGCAATGGTATAGATCATGAACTCTCTTTCAAGTAATATGCATACCCAATTCCCAGAAGCTAATTTATGCAAGCATTTCAACCATTGTAACTTGTACTTGGACCTGTTTCCATTTTCTGAGATAACTCTTAAGAATTTATGTCTTTGTGATATTCACCAACCCTTGGGAAAACTTTCTTATTAAATTGCCTTTCAACAATTTTTTCGAACATTAAATCGTAGTCATGAAATTCAGTTTTTACCTTGAAGGGAAGATCCAGAAAGACCTTATTAGTAAAAAATTTGAATTGATTAATAAAAGCAGCCCCTCATAATCTGATTCCATTTTCTGAGATAATTCAAGAATTTATGTCTTTGTGATATTCACCAACCCTTGGAAAACTTTCCTATTAAATTGCATTTCAACACATTTTTCGAACATCAAATAGTAGTCATGAAATTCTCTTTTTTACCTTTTTTTTTTTTTTGATAAGTAAATTGTATTAAAAGCGTTCAAAAAGGGGAACGCGACCCAAACTATACAAAGAAAACGGAGCCTATGAATTCAAAGAACTCATAAAGTCAACAATCTCCTCAAGAGAGGAGTAGTCTCTCCCCTGACCCCAACAAAACAAATTACAAATGATAGAAAATTTTAACACCCCAATGGAGGATTCCTTTCCTTCAAAAGATCTTCCATTACGCTCTCTCCAAAGGCTCCACCAAATACAAAAAGGGATCACCCTCCAAAAAACTCTGACCTGAGCCCCCACCCATTGGCCCCTCCACATATCTAACAACTCTCAAGATGTCCGAGGCATGACCCAATGAATACCAAACAGGCCAAACATCAAACTCCAACAATCATGAGCCACAGGACAGTGCAACAAAAGATGATCCACTGACTCCCCATTAATCTTGCAAAGACAACACCTATTAACAATGATATGTCTTCTCTTCCTCAAGTTGTCCAACGTCAAAATCCTACTCCAGCAGTAGTCCACACAAAAAAGCCCACCCTAAGAGGCGCCTTAGACCTCCACACCGTCTTCCATGGGAATGAGGTACCATGAAAACCAGAAAGGCACACAAAAAAGGACCGGACCTGGAACATCCCCTGAGAAGAAGGCACCCAAATCAAAGAATCTGCCCCAGACCCCTCCACCTCCTGTCCGTAAAGAAGAGCCAAAAACCCAGTGACATCATCCAGCTCCCAATCCTGAAAAGCTCGCCGGAAACGCACATCCCAAGACAACCTTCCACTATCAAGGCGATAATAGTCAGCAACCATTGCATGTTTGTCAATAGCAATCCTAAAAAGCCTGGGAAACAAAAGGGCCAAAGGCCTATCATCACACCATGGATCCTCCCAAAACCGGACAGTTCTTCCATCCCGAACTCTGAATCTAATATGTTTGGAAAAGGCATTCCACCCCTTACCAATGGCCCTCCACACCCCCACTCCGCCAACAGACCTGACTGATCTAGCTGACCACCCTCCTCTCTCCTCCCCAAAGCGACATGAGATAACCTTTCTCCATAATCTATGTCTTTCCTTACCAAATCTCCAAAGCCACTTACCAAGAAGAGCACAATTGAAAGTGGCCAATCTCCTAATTCCAAGCCCTCCCAACCGAATAGGCCTGCAAACCTGTTCCCATTTGACAAGATGATACTTGAACTCTTCACCGCGACCCCCCCAAAGGAAATTACGTTGAAGCATTTCTAGTCTTCCAACAATAGAGGCTGGAATACGAAAAAGCGAAAGAAAGTACGTTGGAAGGCTTGACAAAGTGCTCTTCACTAACGTAACTTTACCGCCCTTTGACAGATATTGTTTTTTCCAACCCGCTAATCTTCTCTCGACCCGCTCAATCACCGGGTTCCAACTTCCCACCCTCCTAGCCGAGTCCCCCCGCAGCAAACCCAAGTACGAGATGGGAAAGCGTTGCGTCCCACATCCTAGAACAGCAGCCAGAGTGTCCACCTCCTGAACTTCCCCCACAGGAACAATCACACTCTTTCATCTTGAAACAAAGCCATAGTTAATCTTAGAAACAAAGGGAAGCTACTCCCTTTTCATCTTGAGGAAACATTAGTTAGAAGCAAAATGACATAAACCCACATTTTAAAATTTTTAAAAAAAAAAAATCCAACCCAAAAGCCATAGTTAATAACTTCTTTTTTTTTGATAAGTAAAAAAAGCCATAGTTAGTAACTTAGTACAGATCATAAGCGTTAAATTCATTAAAAGAAAAATAGTTGAGCATTAAATTCAATGAAGCATTTGTATCTACACGATTCTCTATTTTCCTCAACTTACTA